GAATTCCCATAGGTACCGATTGTGCCTCGGTATTAGCAGACCTATTTTTGTTTATATATGAGGCAGAACCTGTGCAAAATCTTATGCCTGAAAAGAAGAAAACTTTTGGTGCTATCTTTAACTTGACATTTAGATATATTGATGTCGTATTGTCAATTAACAATATGGTAATTTCCATTCTTATGACGATACGATATATCCTGGTAAGCTTGATATGAAAGATAACACAAAGTCTGACACATCTGTTTCATATTTGGATATTCTACTTGAAAAAGACGTTGATGATAATCTAACAACCAAGCTCTATGATAAATGCAATGATTTTAACTTTTCTATCGTCAACTTCCCTTACTTATGCAGCAAAATACCATCATCATCTGCATACGAGTTTATATATCTCACTTGATTCAATACGCGACGGATTTATTTCCCTATCATGACAAGGAGAACACGGTGGGTGTGACCGGTCGGCAGGGGATGCTCACTCCTCCATGACACCTGATCCCGCCTTTGTAGTTTTTGAAGGTCCGTGTTTGTTCTGCTCCTATTTTGTATAATACATATATGTATAGTGCACCACTAGAATATTTAAGTTATTCATTTATACTTTAATTTTTTTCTATAAGTAAACTTAACGAAGTTTGATTCCATGCGTGGACATTATTAAAAAATAAGAAATGCATATACATGTGTGTAATGCAGACCCCCTCCTTTTCCTCACAGGAAGATCAAGTATTAGGAGAAATTAACACTCTTTCTGTGCTTGCACATGAATTTCGAATTTCGTTTGTTTTGGATTAAAATATTCACCGTCATAACATTTGCGATCACTTTACCATAAAATAATTATTTATTTGAGACTGGTACTAGTATTCATCAAACTCAATTTTTTCTGTGAAATCTCAGATTTTTTTTTAGATGAATCGGCAAAAAAACCCATTGGTGACACACATACTTGAGAAAAAATCTTAGATTTGAGAAAAAAATCCCTCAAAAGATAAGTTTAAGTAGAGAAAATAGATTTATTTTGTGGCACAGTTTTGAGAGGAAAACTCTGCGAAATCTCAAATTTTGAAAATCTTAGCCTTGGTGACCCTGAAGACAGTTCTATTGCTGAAATTTCATATCTCATACATGAATTATCAAATGTCCAATGAACCTTCTAGACTTCCATAAATTGCATGGCGTATATTTATGATTTAAAATACAACATGTGTGTCAAGATGCGAATGTCAAATGGCGTATTCGACTGGTTGATTTCGTGAAGAAACAAAAAGTTGATGACATCTTTTTACATTCGACTGGACTTTTCTGATGAGCAACAAAAAAATGTTGAGTACGAAACGCATCACAGATAACACCGCGAACATGGCGGAGAAAAAGTCGTGAGTACACAATCTGCTTGTTTTTCACTGATTTTTGCGATTGCAATCATTTTAATTTTTAATAAACCTGACCTAGTGTTAGAGATATATCATTTTACAATAAACTGAGAGTTTATAAGCAGTATACACATAGCCCAGGTTCTACGGTACTCATTTATAGGCCTATGTGTCACGCAGTCAGCTAGGCCCACAATATATCCTGCACAGAAGGCACGGTTTTTAAGCCCTTCTCAGCCACGCAGCATCGTTTTTGAAAGTGGGGGGGGATAGAAAGAATTTTTTTACTTACCTGAAAAGGTTGACAAGTAAAAATAAAAAAAGGGGGAAAAATAAAAATTGTCCAAAGTCGAATATCCCATTTCGTGTGAGAGGGTGGTGTGTGTGTGTGTGGGGGGGGGGGGGGAGGGGTAAGAGGTAAACTTTTTTCCATGCCAATTTCTTCCTGTACAATTTTTAAAATACATTTCCTTACATCACTAAAATTTGGGAGGGGGGCAACCTTTCAATGAACATTTCCTTTAGTAATTTTATTGTTGGGGAAAAAAGTTTGGGATCCAGCCCCCCTGTTGCTATGTGCCTGAATTTGTATCTGCCGATAAAGACATAATTCTGTTTTATATCATTTCATATAAATGCCTGTGTCAACGTTCGATTCTGTTTCTGGGAAATATTTTAAACTTAACATTCCTAACATTATGTAGGTACTGGAATCAAATACATCTAAAGTATCTACTTGGAAATAATACAAGTTTTGGATGCCCCCACAATAAGGAGGTTAGAAAATGGAGGTGAGTTTTTCTTTCTGAAAAATATATAATTAAAGATCTAAATGTGTAATTAAATTTTAGGAATTAAATCATGAAGTTCTCACAGCAAGCTACTTTCAGCTTTTATTTTTTGTTAGGCCTAATAAAAAAAGTACAGCATACAAATATTTAATTTTAGATGAAGAATTACTCCGACAAATTCGGAAAAATGTGGAAGAGTCTGGAGTGGCAGAAGCTGCACAACAGCCTGCATGCATTGAAGAAAAAACTCTTGCATGTACTAGCGTGGATAATTTGGAATTTGAAGATGAGGCTTCAAACAGTAAGATGTTATTCATGAATGTGCTAAATCATGAAAAAAACCATTATATTAATTGGACAAGATAAACATGTACATCTTGTGTATTTTAAGAAATGAAATATGAAAAATTGACTTAATAGAATAGTAATTATACTGATTACTAGCTTTTATGACCTTTGACTGCATGATGAGAACTTGAGAAGTGTACATGTACACTATCCAATCTTGTTGAGTTGGCAGGGGTAGCTTTGAAAAAATATTTGTTTTGTGATTGGTTATTTCATGGGTATAATACTAATAAAAATACATACAATTCTTTTGTTTTTAAGGTTTAATACAATCTTAAAATGTAATTTTGGTCAGTTGGATTTCTTCTGGAAAAAGATGGTGGGGTTCAGAACATGAATATAATTTTCCATAATTTTTTTTTTCCATAATAGGTGATCTGGAGGAAAACACAGTTGACAGTCTGCCAGTTTCATGGACCAGAGATGCCACAGAGCTTTTAATAAGCCTATATGAGGAACACGAAGAAGAACTAGAAAATCCACGGAACAAAAAAAAAGGATATTTGGAAGAAGATAACTGCAGAACTTAACGAAGCAGGATACAAATATGTACAAAGCAAAGTTGAAGGGAAATGGAGAAGCCTACTGGCATCACACAAAGATCTGTCTTTGAACAAGAAGCGAACTGGCCAGAAGAGGAAGACTTTCCAGTACTTTGAGAAAATCGATAACATTATAGCAAAACGCCATGATATCAACCCTCCTTTTACTTCAGAATCTTCAAAACAAAAGGAAACCAAATTCAGCACAAAAGTAGATAAGAACATTAGTTGCACTTCTTCACAAACAGACGAGGAAAGTTCCACCGTTAGTAATGACATTTCCTCTTTCAGCCAATCTAGTACAGATACAGCAGATATCAACAGCGACAGCGGAGAAAATGTGAATGCTGAAAATACTGAAACCCCCTTGAGAAAATTTACCACAGCAAAAAGAAGGCGAGAAAACAGGAAGATTAATAGTGAGAGTAACTCAGATATCAAGTTGCTCGAGTACTTAAAGGAAATGGAAAAGCAGAGAAAAGAGGAATATAAGGAACGGGAAAAAAACGTGATCAACGTGCTCAAGAAAAGAATAATCTGTTTAGAGAATTTTTGGACATAATGAAAAACAAAAATAATTAATTGAGTAATAAGTATCTTAAGGACCCTCTCTATACTGCAAGCTAATTTCAGACTTAATTTAAAATATATCCAAGTATTCAAAAAATTATATTAGACCAAGATTGAGTAGTTGAAAACTTCACTTACATACATGTATTTTCCATATTTGAGTAAGCAAACACAATTTTTCTTTACCTCATTGTCTTTGAAGATTTTTTTTCCTGAGAAAAAGGCATACTCGCTGTATTAAAAGTGGATGTTATATTTAAAATACCCCCCTTTAAGCTTTATGCTATATAATTTTCTTAGATTCTAAAAAAAATTATCGGTGTATAGGTGATCCTTAAAGAAATTTATTTTCATTTCAGATTACCTATCCAAATTGCCACCTCATATTCTGGACAAAATTTTCATGCATGTTCAAAAAGTAGATCCTGAATGTAAACTATATGAAGTTTGCAAAGACTTTAGAAATTGTGTTTTATTTCAAAAGAACAGATTTTTTTGTCCATGTTGATGCTTTATCTGAGCACTGTGGCATTAAATTTATACCAAATTTAAAGAAATTGACCATTACCGCACTTAACAATGTTCAGGAGATAGCTCTTATACCTGTCATTGAGCTTTTTATTGATTTTGAATTCAAGAATTTAGAGATTCTTATCCTTAAAAAATTTTCTTTCGAAAACTCCTTGTTTTCAGCATTTGCCGAAGCTCTATCACATGTTAAATTATCAGCACTGCAGTTTGTGACATGTGATGAGGTCACTCTTGGACAACTTAAATGCATTCTTGAACAAATTAAAACACTGAAATACTGTGACATTCAGTGCAATTTAGAAAATGTTGTAGATAAACATGTTTTTGCAGAACTGGCCAATCAGTTAGTTGGAGAAGTGAACTTTAATTTGAACAGTCTAGAAATGGTTCCGTCAAGTCTTTTGCGGTACAGACGATCAGAGTACAGAGCTTTGTGGCCTAAAGGACAGTCTTTTTTGTTAGAATTTTGCTGATTAAGTGATGGTTAGGTGTTATTGTGAACAGTCGTTTAAAAACAGAGTACTTATTTTATTGGAAGAGGTTTTCTCGATATGAGGTTTAAGTTGTAATTTAATATTCCTCAGACAAGACAACAGAAATTCTGTGTATTTAACTCAGGAAGAGATTATACTTTTTTATTTTTGAATATTTTATTCTATGTCTCCATATACATTTGTTTATTTCTGTGCCATGAATCAATTTATTCAAATTATTGCAGAAGTGCAGTATTTTATTATTATATTTTTTAACTCAGGAAGAGTGTTTTCTCCTTTATTTTGTTATTAAAAGAATAAAGCTGTACTAGTTGTTTTTTTTTTATTTACAAGGAACAATTCTTAACACAATCTTCGTGCAATTTGAAGTCTTTTGAGTGACCCTCTGTTCATCAATTCCTGGTCATATATACCTGCATTGGGCAAGACTTGGGGAACTTGGTCATCTGTCATCATATCCTGGAAATCATCGTTGTTTAAGATGCAGATATTGTGCAGTATACACCCTGTCACTATAGTTTTTACCATTAATTTTGTATCGTTTTGGTCAAGGTGCTTTAATCTGGTAAATCGCCCTTTTAATAAACCAAATGCACGTTCAACTGTACTACGAATGCTACTGTGTATGTAATTATAACGTGTTTGGACTTCAGTAAGATGCCCATTGTCTCTGAAAGGTGTTAATAACCATGAAAGATTAGGATAAGCCGAGTCGCTTAACAAATGACCATCTCCACATAAGACTGGTCCATTTTCAAACAATTTCGAGTGGCGCAAAACACGCGCATCATGGACCTTTCCTGGAAAGCCAACAAAAATGTCTATAAAGCGGAGATCTTCTCGTACAACAGCTTGCAGGACTATTGAATAAAAATCTTTACGGTTGTAATAGTCAAACCCTCTGTCTGATGGTCTTTTAATTGAAATATGTGTCCCGTCAATGAATCCAACGATGCCAGGAAAACCTTTAAGATCAAAATACATATCCTTGATTTCCTGAATCTCTGTAGGAGTAGGCCACAGAATAACTGCATCTAATAGATAGTCACTAATGAAAGTTATTAAATTGTGAATTGAATATAAAGCCGTGCTTTCACTTGTTCCAAATCTATCTGCAATGGCAGCATACTTGTCTAAGCTGGCCATATACCACAGAAACATCAGTAGGCGGTCCTCGAGTGGAGTCTGAGCTGATCCTCCTGTAGACATGCGGCATAAAACGCCTGATATATTCTGTTGGGTGCATATTGAAGAAATTTTCTCTTTTAGACACTGAACACTCACTCTGTCAACTCTGAAAAAAGTCTTGAATTCATCTAGGTGAAAGTGGGAAACAACGTTTCTGGTATATTTCTTTTGTCTGTGTCTTTCTTTGGGTACATTTCGCCATTTTATTGATGAACTACAACAAGAAATCATATGAATAAGATGTTAAAAAGTTGTCGAATGATTTTGATGGCACATCCTACATAAATTTTCAAAGGAGGGGGGGGGGTCCTAAATCAAAACATGGTATGTGTATAAGACTTATGAACAAGAGAGATTACCCCCCCCCCCTTTCGATTCATTGAGCTGTTTTAATTCGTTTGTCAGTTCACTATAAACAAATAATTTTGATTATCAAATTGTTATAGCTGTGTGTGTAAACATATAAGTCAACATCTTTAACAGCTGCACAGACTGCAGACCCCCGCTGTTAACCTCGTAAAATGTGCGATTTTTTTTGACATTATAAATATATAATATCGTCCTTAATAAACTTAAATTGTACTTGTACTTACGAAGCCAATAAGGCTTAAGGTAGAAGATCATCGTCCTCACTCTCGCTGTCGCTGCTATCAAAGAGAGTAGCTGCTAAAAAAGTCACTTGTTCTATCATGTTTATTTGTAGTTTCTGTTTTCCTTATTTTTTTTAACGGGAGTGATCATTCTTTGTTCTTATTTCATTCGACTGGTACTAATACGTAACTTTTACTCATTTCTCATTTTTTTATGCGTTGAGAAACGACTGGTACTTGAAAAGTGGGGGAGTAACTGTTGAGAAACTTTTAAGCAGTGCGCATATGGGTCAAGGTCATAAATAAGCAAATTCTGTCTGTTAAAACACTTTCGTTTCCACACGATATCTCTTTATTAGTATTTATAGTATTACTTGTCGCTATTTTTAGCGCAGGGGCATGAGGAGAGTTCTTGCGTATAAAACAGGTTCTCAGCGGACTTTATGTTCTTATTACATTTATTAGAACTGTTTAATAAAGGCTAAATAAATCAAACACCATGGATTGTGTAAAACTTTGAGAATACCGAACATGAAAACATGAATATATACATGTATGTGACTTCAGTTCTGCATATACTTCACACGTTCTAAAGCGACAATGTGGTGTAGTGGTTTTGTCTCTCGTTTCAAATGTGAGACGTCCCGGGATCGATTCTCGGTCGATCCTTCCTTTTTTTTTTTTTTAAATACCTTCTTTTTTTTTTACTAAATGATAGTATTCAGCATGTGAAATGAAAAATTTATGAGGTTATAAAATCATCATTACAGTGTGATAAATATTCTATATAAAAAAATCTTCTATACACATAATAAAGAATAAGCAATCAAATCTTTATATGCATATTGACATACATGTATTTTATTTGCTTCAGTATACATGTATACATTTAATAATTCTACAAATTCAGTCAGGGGAGCCGACTTTTTCCCTAAGCGGGGGATACGAATTCTCTGAATTAGCTTGTTACTCATCAAAAAGGTACCAGTCGAATACGCCAATTATGTAATGAAACTACAAAATGTAGATACAAACTAGATATAGAACTTAGCTATAGTTAAATATTTTTTTATTGAATTATACTTCTAAAAGATTAAATTCCAGTGGGGGGGGGGTGCTAAGCCCCCCCCCCCCCCCCCCCGGTTCCGACGCCTATGTTATTAATACGCACCATATTGTTCAGAGATAAGAACGTCCTTATCCACTAACGCAGGATTTCCGTACATACGAAAATTAATATCGACTGTGCTAATAAACACCTATTGTGATAACTCCGACACTGAAGTAGCCGACAGAGGGTCGGGGATTTCCAGTTGTATATTTTAGACGACTCAGTAGAGTTACATAACTTGCTTAGTGGCGCTGTATTTCGTAGGCTGTCTAAGCACTTAAAAGTGTCTCACTCCGCGTAATAGAGTTCGTCATTTTAAGAACATAATATACAACATTTAAAAAAATATATAGAATCACCTTTAAAAAGAATCATATTACACCTCGGAGATAATTTAGGTCAACAATAGTAGCCCTTGCAAAGGCATTGTAGAACCCATTTGTTTACATAATTATACATTTATTATTTGTAGAGGGGGCGTTAGGGGCGCGTTCAAGATTTTATTGCTAGATGATATTAAGTACAGATCCGAAATTTGAACAAGAATAGCAGCCACGTACAGAATATACATTATAAATATTTATGCTAAGTTTGAAATCCTACAATCCTACTTGGATAACACTTTGCATCACGGGAAATGCTGTATATACCGGGTGTTGCTAAAACGCGGAACGGAAAGCGGAACGGAACGGAAAACGGAAGATATTATTTTGGATTAAATCACTTAAAATACAAAATTTATCATTTACACAATATATCTTGTACATATTCAATCCCCCACTATTAAATACAAACTGATTTTGTCATGCCCAGTCTCTTTTTAACGAAAATCGCTAAAATAGCAGTCACCTAGAATCGAATTTGAAAGGGTGGGGGGGGGGGGGGTAAACGAACTTGGAAAGTATTTGACAAGCAAAAACACGAAAAGAAACAATTGTTTGATTCGGGAGGGGGAGTAAGTTCAAACTCCAACATCTTTCAGTGCTATTTTTTTTACACTAACATACTACATTAATTACATTCGCAAAAAGTGTGAGGATGTCAACTTGAATGAACATTTCCGTAGTAAAAAGTTTATGACTGGGGGGGGGGGGGGGCAAATATTTTATATCTAGATGGACCATGAAAAGAGAAATAAAATGTAAAAAAAAAAAAAAAAAAAGAAAATATTAAGATTACGTTTAAGGCAAACTCGAATAAACATATCTTATTATACACACTGGTTGTTAAAATTTATTCAAAATAGAGTCGCTCTCTATATATATTTAAATTATGGATAGACAAAGTTGGAAAACTTTCATGTTGTAGATATAAATCGGAATCTTTGCATTCAATGAAGTGAAATTTTGTTTGTTTGCGGTACATATGTGTGTATGTTTGGGGGGAGGTGTATAGGAATGACCCCGTAAAAACTGAGTTTGTTTTTACGCTCATCGAAAAGGTCTGAGAAGTTGTAATAGATATGCCCCCCTTTTTTTGTGTCCAAAATATACATATTAAGGTTTAATAAATCAAATTTTAATGTGACTGTGGGCCCCTCACAGACCCGAAACTGACACTCCCCCTTTCACGATTCGCGAATTCGACACTGCGTGCATAATCTGAATATCATAACTAGTTATTTTTGTCTTTACAGACATTGACATTGGAAACAAATTGAAAGAGGAGGGGGGGGGGCAGTAAAAATTTTCCAACATACAACAAATTTGACAAGCCAAAAAAAAGGGGGATATGACCTTTGCCCAAACACGAAAATCCTATTTCGTGTGTGTGTGTGTGGGGGGGGGGGGAGGGGTCGAATTTCTTTCAGTGCCATTTTTTCCACGGAGGGTGTGTATGACTCATGAATATAAATAATAGTTAACTATAAATTTTAATCAGAAATGATTTTTACAACAAGAATATTGCTCATTTATCTGATTTATATCGAATCTATGTTATTTGTTTGACAAAAATTTTCCGTTTTCCGTTCCGTTCCGCCTTCCGTTCCGTTTTCCGTTCCGCGTTTTAGCAACACCCGTATAGACCGGTATACTAACTGAACGAATGTTCTTTATCTAATCGTAAAATCTCACAATTCAATTTTTGTATGCTTTTTTCCATATATTAGTTATAAATGAAATGATTGTATGA